AAGGTGATCTTAGCCCTAAAGAGTTACAGCTGAGTGTCTGTGAGCCTGTGTGTTCGCTGGGAGCGTTGCCCCGACACCAAAGAAAGAAAAGAGGGTGGTGTGTGGAGAACGTTAGTGCGAGAGGGGAGCCAGACTCATGCTGGCCCCTTTGAGGGCAGGGCTCGCCCCAGAATCCGGGTCACCTGACTCTCAGCTCAGGGTTCTTTAATAATATGCCTGTCTCTTGAGTAGAATTTTTAAGAAGTAAAGTGATTTGACATAGAGGGTTAAAGTACATGAAGCCAACTCCAATATATGCTTTCTGCAGGGGATTCAGTAGCCTGTGGGTATGACATTATTCCAGACTTCCAGGCACGTACGTAGGTGCTGCTGCTGCCTATTCACTAGACCAAGGATCTTAAAAAGCGCTCAGTGCTTTCCCATGACTGCTTCCGCCTCCGTTCTCAACTCGGCGGGACTTTGGGAAAACTTAGTGCATTTCCAGGCTCCAAAGTAAATGGTCTGAGTTTCCACTTTTAATTTTATTGTGATGCCCTAGCCAGTTGGGCTCAGTGGGTAGGGTGTTGGCCCAGGAATAAAGCGTCTCAGGTTTGATTCTGGTCCAGGGCACAGAACCTCCCCGGCAGGGTCCGTTCCGGCCCGGTCCGGGTCCTTGCAGGAGGCAACCAATTGTGTCTCATGTCAATGTTTCTCTCTCTGTGGCCCCCCCTCCCCAAAAAAAAAATCAATGGACAGTATCTTCCTGTGAAGATTACCAAAAAATAAAATAAGCTTTATATGCAGTTTTGACTACATGTAAAGGAGGACCACGCTAGTAACTGTAAGTGCTTAGGTGTGTGTTGATAGAACTTGCTCTGCATTGGTGTTAGGCACACACGACTCTGATCAATTGCTCTTGGCCACTAGTCATCCACTTGTGAACATCGAAATACACTTTCTACTTAGCAGCTGCTATAGACTTTTGAATGGGATTAAGAATATATCTTTGAGGAAACCAAGATGGCGGCGTAGGGAGTGGACCTGTGCATGTAGCTCTCTCACAGCATCAGTGAAACTACCAACTATGAGGCAGACAACCACCACTCGGAACCATGGGGAAGCTGGCCCAGTGGGAGACCCACGACTGGAAGGAAAGAAAGAAGCGCAGTGAGACTGAGTGGGAGCCACGGAGGCGCCAAAAACAGAGGTACACAGTCACACGCCAGGCGGGCTGCAACTGGATTCGCGGTTTTTTTTTCAATCAGAAGCGCTCATGAACCCTCGAATCCTCTGGGCTTGCTCGGGGCGGGTCTCTGAGGCCCCAGATCCCACGGGGAGAGGCGGCCATGGCCTTGCAGCGGTTGGAAAGCGAGGGAAGCTCTGACATGCGGCTGCTCACCGGCACTGAGGGATACGAAGTCCTGGTGTCCCGGGGAGGAGAGGGGCGTGGGGACGCCGCCATTGCTCCGCGCTGGTGACTCCCTGAGACCCCGCCCTACTCAATTTACATCCCCATCCGGGCTGTGCCCGAGGCACAGGAGGGAATGTCTGTGCTTTTCCAAACTCTCAAATCCACTGAGCTGGCTCAGGCGGGTCTCCGAGGCCCCAGGCCCCACGGGGAGAGATGGCATGGCCTTCCGGCGGTCAGAAAGCGGGGGAGGCGCTGGGGGACGCAAAGTCCAGGTGTCCCGGAGAGGCGAGGGGCCGCTGAGACTCCGCCCGGCGACCCCTGAGACCCTGCCCTGCTCAGTTTACATTCCCATCCAAGCTGTGCCAGTGCACAGAAAGACCCACCTGCGCTTTTGCAGCCTAACCCAAAAAATTGCAGACTTCAACTCCTCACACCCGTAGGAGACACACTCAAGAAGCAGACCCAGGAGAACCAAGATGGCGGCGTAAGGAAGAGACCTGTGCGTGCTGCCTCCCACAACAACGTCGAAACTACCAGCTATAGGACAAACAGCCATCATACGGAACCATGGGAAAGCTGGCCCAGTGGAGGCTCTACAACTGGAAGGAAAGAGAGAACATTGAGACTGAGTAGGATGTGCAGAGGCACCAAGTACAGAGCCCAACCCAGCAGGCTGCAGATTTCAGCTCCTCGCATCCAAGGAGGGACGAAATCGGGGGGCGGAGTCGGGTTCGGGGCAGGCCGGGGCTCGGCCTGGCTGGGCCGGTCTTGTGGAACCGCTGTACCAGCAGGTGCACAAACATGCCCACCGGTTCAAGTCTCACGTGGGGCGCTGGGGGACGGGAGACGGACAGTCTGTGCACTTGGAGGAGGGCGTGGTCCGAGCAGGAGTGCTGGATGTTCAGCCACCAGGAACGCCTAGAGATTTTGTCTGGCGGGGAGCCGCCCAGCAGGGGACAGAGGGTCAAACTTCTGCATTGGTGTTAGGCACACACGACTCTCTGATCAATTGCTCTTGGCCACTAGTCATCCACTTTGTGAACATCGAAATACATTTTCTACTTAGCAGTTGCTATAGACTTTTGAATGGAATTAAGAATATATCTTAAGTAGGTGAGGCTGGGATGATGGGGACGGCCCCGGTGAGGTCGAAACAGCCCCAGTGAGGCCGGGACGGCCCTGGTGAGGTCGGGAAGGCCCCCGGTGAGGTTGAAACTGCCCCCGTGAGGTTGAAATGGCCCCGGTGAGGCTGAGACAGCCCCATTGAGGTTGGGACAGATAATGGGGACCAGTATAGACTGATGAACAGGGGTAGATGCAGAGGCAGAGTAACATTGAACAGACTGTCTGTAATACTTTAAGAAATAAAAATTATATATATAAAAAAAAGAATATATCTTTGAGCCCTGGCAGGTGTGGCTCAGTTGGTTGAGCATCATTCCATGCACCGAAAAGTTGCTGGTTTGATTGCCAGTCAGGGCACATGCCCAGGTTTCTGGTTGATGCCTGGTTAGGGTTCATATGGGAGGCAATAGATCAATCTCTCCCTCTCCCTCTCCCTCTCTCTCTCTCTCTCTCCTCCTCCCTCCCTCTCCTTTTCTCACTCAAAAAATAATAATAGTCAATAAAAACATAAAATAATAGACTGTGTCTTTGAGAAACTTATCCTCCTCTGGTACCTGATGGCCGCCACGGGATGGGTCCCACCTTGAGGTCTGTATAATAAATGACTAAATGCTTGTAACGCCAAGACCTCATGTAAAAGAAGCTAAGTAGGTTAAGGTAGTGCTATTCTTAGTTAACACAGACATCCCTTGATATATCTGTTCTACCACCTTTCGTGAATAATCGTGTTGTCTTTGGAATGCCATTGTTGGTAGGACACCTGTTTTCCCTGTAGTGTGGGCAGGTGCTGATGAGTGGCTTTATTGCTTTTTCCTAAGTTTGGTAACCCCTCTGAGAAGGGGAAGGCGGGATCAGACAGAGCCAAGAGTGTCGGCTCCGTTCTCCTGTCTTTGTCCCTGACTCAGTGTTTCAGGTGGACACTGACACTGGGCAACTCCAAGCTCCCTGCAGAGGGGCCGATGGGGACGTGCCCTCTCTCCAGGCAAAGGCAGCCCAAGGGGCCAGAGGCTCTGGCTGAGGATAGGCGTGAGTCGTGAGTGAGGGCAGTAAGAGGCCAGTAGCTCAGTGGTTCTCAACCTTCTCTGGGCATCCAGAATCATCCGGGAGCTTCTTAAAATACAGATGCCTGGACCCATGCTCATAGTTTTAGATTCAATGAGCATTTCCTGGAATGGCCACTTGTGCAGCCAGGTCGAGACTCACAGCGCAGAGTTCTCTGATCCGTGTGGTCCACATTGGTCCCTTTTAGTGGCAATCTAGTAGTGCATCTTGACCCCTCCTCAATTTTTTGTCACTTGGGTTATTTCTCATTTTCTACAAATATCACTAGAATCAACCATCAGAGGGGGGAGAGTTCTTTGATATTTTTTTTAGGAGTACAGTTCTTTAAAAATGAAGTTACCAGGTCATATAGATATGTTCAATATTATGAGATGATTCTGAAGGGAAGGTATCCTATGATGTGCCATTGAGAATATGTGGGCTTGTCATTTTCCCGCTTAACAAGGTGACTGGTAAGAAGTGTTGTGCCGAGAGCTGCTTGCTGGACCAGGACAGTGAGGGACTGTCGGAGAACAGAGCTGTTCTGGGCCTTCGATTCATGTAGCAGGAAAGGTATCTTAAGGCCTCGAAACACACTTTACGTTTCTCAAGAACGATTGTGGTGCTATTTCAAGAGCAACAATGATCGAATGTTTCTTTCCTTTTTTAATCCTCCCCCAAGGATATTTTTTTCATTGATTTTTAGAGAGTGGAAGAGAGGGAGGCAGAGAGAGAGAGAGCGGGAGGGGAAGGGAGGGGAGGGCAGGGGAGAGAGGCACACTGATTGGCTGCCTCCTGCATGCGCCCTGGCCGAGCGGGGATGAACCTGCAACCCAGGTCTGCGCCCTTGACTGGGAACCAGCGGAGCAGCTCCAGCCTGTCGTCTTTCCTTTTCTAAACGACAACAGTGTGAAAGTAGATATTACATTTGGCCATTAGCCACGTTGATTTTGCATTTACAGAAAAATGTGCTAAATAGCAGGAATTGTCTTCGCACATGTAATGTTTCTGAAGTGTTTTCATGTAGTTACTACTACCCTTTCTTTAAGTAGGGGTGGTAAGTGAGACATTAGAATTGTTCTTATGAATAATCTCAATAGAGGAACTATAGACGACTTAGCTTTATATGTGGAAAGCACACAGGAAGCATCAGGAAGTGTGTTTATATCAGAAATAAAATGCCTACTCGGTGTGTTATTGACTAAGGAGGTCATACAGGCCTTGTAGATGTCAGAATGTTTTCACTTGTGGTACGTATGTTCACTTGCTTTTAAGGGACTGGGATATATTCTTATGTAAAGCCAGAGTAAGTCAGATTTTGGAGAAAAATGAACCAGCCTGTTTTCTTCGCATTTCTTTGTTGCCATGTGAAATCACTGTGCTTCAAAGCAGTCACCATTTCCAGCCCACACTGACAACCCTCCTTTTGGTGTATTTTTTGCAGGAGGTCTATCGAATTCCAAAGAAAAGTCAGACGGAGAAGGAGAGCACAGGTAAGTACTCAGAGACCCTCTGTAGCTCTGCAGACACTTTGGAATATGCAGAGGTAACCGATAAGAACTTGAATAGTTTTGTTTTTGAAACCAGACAGTATGTAGTTAGGTAAATGGAATATTTTAGTGTAAAGGTTTGGAAACGTGTAATTTTACGCTTTCGTAGGAAATTTTTGCTAAGGAGCTGTCTCTTTGTATTATCTTTGTTGTTGGTTTCCTTGAAGTCATGGCCTTTAGTAGTCTTACTTCCATGCATTGGTTCCTTTAGATCAGACATTCTTTACATATACATACATACGTATATATACATACATATATATGTACATATATATGTATGTATATATGTATAAAATTGATTTCAGAAAGGAAGGGGGAGAGAGAGAGATAGAAACATCAATGATGAGAGAGAATTATCGATCGGCTGCCTCCTGCCCGCTCCCCACTGGGAATCGAGCCCGCAATCCAGGCATGTGGCATGTGCCCTTGACCAGAATTGAACCTGGGACCCTTCAGTCTGCAAGCTGATAATAGTTTTGCTATCCACTGAGCTAAACCAGCCAGGCTAAAGATTCTTAGATTGGTTTGATAAAAATTATCTAATCCTTTTTTTAATTAAAGAGACATTTCCTGTTGAGGTTTTATGCCAGGCTGCTCTTCCGCACATTGTAAATATGCAGAGTTACAGGGGCAGTGGATGGTGTTCACATTTTTTAAAAAATATATTTTATTGATTTTTTTATAGAGGGGAAGGGAGAGGGATAGAGAGTTAGAAACATCGATGAGAGAGAAACATTGATCAGCTGCCTCCTGCACACTCCCTACTGGGCATGTGCCCGCAACCAAGGTACGTGCCCTTGACCGGAATCGAACCTGGGACCCTTGAGTCCGCAGGCCGATGCTCTATCCACTGAGCCAAACCGGTTAGGGCGGCGTTCACATTTAGAACTGACAGGCAGACTGCCTTGCTAAAGGTCATGTGTGCCGTGTCCCCGGAACTTGCGAAGGCTGCTGAAGGCGGGGACGACATGTTGGTTGGGAGAGTAGAAGAGGGCATCGCAGAAGAGGCTTTCAGGAATCACAGTGCACTCACACACAGGCCTGTGTCTCGTCCAAATCCAGGGCGGACATGAGGGAGGAGTCCATGGGCTCATTTGTTGGATAGAAATTTTATTACACGGTTGATGCATCATGATGGAGAAAAGTCTACCAAGTAAATTTTTTTTTTTCATCCTTAGTAACTGAGCGAGGAAGGGATGCTGCTGTCTTCAGAGATCAAACCACTGCCCCAAAGACTCCTAACCGGTCAAGAGAGAGAGACACAGACAAGCAAACTCAAAGTAAAGAGAAAAGGAAACGAAGGGGCTCTCTCTCACCGCCCTCCTCTGCCTATGAGCGAGGGACAAAAAGGCCAGATGACAGGTAAGTGGCAAAAGGTGCTCAGGTCACACCTGGCTTTGGACCCCAGGGGCTTTCGGAATAAGTATATCCTTTTGATGAGTATTAAACTTCACCAGGAAATGTGGAGACAGTCTCTTGATATTAGTATTAGCTGTGAAGACTAAGAATAGGTTTTTGGTTCTTGAGTGTTTTCCACTTGATAACATTCAAATCCTATTTGAGGAGCCAAAGACTTGTTCTCTAAGGGACAGGGGGTGGAGGTGGGGGCAGGGGAGGGGGCGGATAGCTCCTCAGAGGTAGCGGTGATTCTTGTCAGAGCTTTCCTAGTGACTGCGCCCCACAAGTCACAGTGCTGATTGATCCTGTGTCCGAGGCTCTGTCATGCTCGTAGGGGAAAGGCCATCTGATCGCCACTAGGGACTAGAGAACACTTATTCCGGAGAAGCTCCTTATAAATATTAGATTTGCATTCACTTAGCAGTTGTCAGGGTGTTTAATTTTGGGCTTGCTGGATGTATAATCGTGGCTCATCATGACTTCAGTTTACATTCCCCTGACCACTAAAGAGATGGAACATCTTGTCGGATATTTATTGGCCATTTCTGTTTCCTCTTCTGTGAAGCATCTTTATATGTTTTATTCATTTATTATTTGTCTTTTTGAGTATTAGGAGGTTTTTTGTTTGTTTGTTTTTAATATATTTTTATTGATTTCAAAGAGAGAGGAAGGGAGAGGGATAGAAAAATGGAAGCATCAATGAGAAAGAAATGATTGGCTGCCTCCTACTGGCAGCCCTGGGCATGTGCCCTGTCCAGGAATCAATCATTAACCTCTTGGTTCATGGGGCAACGCTCAACCACTGAGCAACACTGGCTGTTAGGAGTTTTTTATATCCTACATTCTAAATATAATGACGTTTTACTGATAATTTTTGCAAGCATTTTTTCCCTAGTTTATGCCTTGTGTTGGGCTCATTTTGTACTTATGACGTACAGATTTGTTCGTTATGGTTTAATTAAGTGTATTATGTACTGTGTGTTTCCTTTATGGTTGGTTAGTGCTTACTGTGTTTTAAGAAATTCTTTCCTAGCTTAGCAGTAACATATACTTGGTATTGAACAGAGAAGAGTATATGAACATAACTCTGTTCTTTCATGTGTTTATATTCATCCTTTGTTGGTATTTGTTATAAATGTGTGTGGCCAAACGTGTCATTCTTTATCTTTTATTCTTTTCATTTATCTTTTATTAGTGTATTTTGGTTTCTGTTTTAATTTCAGAATGTGTGATTATAGATCTGTCCCCAACTATAAAGAAGAATCTATTTAGGGTGCTATATGTATCATTAATTTGAAAAGCTAGAAACTTAGAATATGACAAACTTATTTTTTTCAATCTATGTGTCTGTTTCCTTGGACTTCTCTTCTATTTGCAAGACTCCTTAAGTAATTTTCAGTGTGGTTTTTAACCATTGCCAAATTGGAGTTGGTGTAATTAATGATTTAGTATTGAGTGACACAACACTTAGTGCTTTGATTATGTTTATAATTTAGGGAACAACGTTTTGTGATGCTCTTATTCTTTTCTTTCTAGATATGATACACCAACTTCTAAAAAGAAAGTACGAAAAGACCGCAATAAACTTTCTACGGAGGAGCGTCGGAAGTTGTTTGAGCAAGAGGTGGCTCAGCGGGAGGCTCAGAAACAGCAGCAGCAGATGCAGAACCTGGGAATAGCATCTCCACTGCCCTACGACTCTCTTGGCTACAGTGCCCCTCATCACCCCTTTGCCGGCTACCCACCAGGGTACCCCATGCAGGCCTATGTGGACCCCAGCAACCCCAATGCTGGGAAGGTGCTCCTCCCCACCCCCAGCCTGGACCCTGTGTGCTCTCCTGCTCCTTACGACCATTCTCAGCCCTTGGTGGGACATTCTACAGAGCCCCTGGCTGCCCCTCCACCTGTGCCAGTGGTGCCACATGTGACAGCCCCTGTGGAAGTTTCCAGTTCACAGTATGTGGCCCAAAGTGAAGGTGTGGTACACCAAGACTCCAGCGTCACCGTCTTGCCTGTGCCGGCCGCGGGCCCAGTCCAGGGACAGAACTACGGTGTTTGGGATTCCAACCAACAGCCTGTCAGCGTGCAGCAGCCGTACTCGACGCCCACACAGTCGCAGCCAAGCATCTATTACCAAGGACAGACGTGTCCAACCGTCTATGGTGTGACATCACCCTATTCACAGACAACGCCACCGATTGTACAGGTGACTAATGCTGGAACCTCTCTTGTCTTACAGTTTGCTTTTGGGATACTAAACTGATATGTGGGGAAATCCTGGCATTGATCACTTCTATATATTGACCAATACTAATTATGTATTGCATAACAAATTACTCTAAAACTTAGCTGCGTAAGACAACAAGTAATATCTGACGGTGTCTGTGGCCAGAGATTCAGGAGCACGGGCAGGGTGATTCTGGCCCAGAATCTCCCATGAATTTACATAACCAGGGCTTAGTCATCAGAGGACCCTGAGGATACAAGAGTCACTTTCAGGCTCACTCACCTCGTTTACTTGTCTCAGTAGGGCTGTTTGCAGCGTGCCAGCTGGTCTCCCCCAAGCACATGCGGGAGAGAGGGGCTTTCTTCATTCTCACCAAGGATATTTTTTCCATTGCTTCCTTTTACTTTATTTTATTTATTTTGCAGAGAGGGAGAGAAGAAATGAACGATGAGAGAGAATCATTGATCAGCTGCCTCCTGCACGCCCCACACTGGGGATTGAGCCCGCAACCCAGGCGTGTGCCCTGACCAGGAGTTGAACCATGCCTTCCTGGTTCATAGGTCAACACTCAGCCCCTGAACCGCGCCGGTTGGTTGTCTCTTGCACGAGCCCCAACTGGGGCTGGGGGTGGAACCTAGGTACGAGTCTTGACTGGGAGTCGAAACCGCCACCCTTTGGTGCACTCTAACCACTGAGCACACGGGCCAGGGCATCATGACTTTTGGATTTCTCCTCTCCTTTTGTTATAGGCAGTGACTTCCATACAGTTTACTCGTCTGTATCCCTACGACGGAGCCCCTCTGTCCTGATACCTGAATTAGGACATTAGGCCCTTCCTTCTTCTAGACCCATCTTGTATCTTATTTCCTGTAACCCTACATGTTTATCAGTAAGAAGTTTGCCAGAGTGACTCTAATGCACTGAGCCTAAGGATGTTACTATGGTAGGAAACTATGGTTAAGTTTAAAAACTAAGAGTGTACTGACTTTATGTTTCAAAATGTATTGTTTTATGTTTTTAAATCATTTCTTTTTCTTATAAAACAAAGCGATACATTTTAAGCGTTAAAATTAAAAGGAGAATGTATAAAGCATCGTTCTTACCACATTCCTGTGTCTGTCTGTCCCCCCATCACTCTTCATCGTCCCTGAAGGAGAATGTGGATAGCAGAGACTCCGGATGTTTCCTGCACGTTTTTTAGTGTTGACCAGTGATGTGCACTTCTGCTGGTGTTACTGAGATGAAGCTGTATCAAAATTTAGTTCCAAAAGTCATGACAAAAATGTCCTCCTTTAATTCCTAAAGCCTTAAGTATATTAACTATAGTTTCATTTTTATGATCTCTTTGCCCACGATTATATATTTTTATATACGTGTAACCTTAGAGATCTGAAGTTTTTTTATCCCATTTTTTCTACTTAACATTATTCTTAACCATTTTTTCAAATTTTGGATTTTTTGTATGTATATACATACATACACACATATGTATACGCATCCATGTTAATGGCTATATAATATTTCGTTTGCTTATAAGATCATTTTCAATCTGTTTTTCTGGCGCAGTCATTTAAGTTGAAAGCTCTTTTTCCTAATTATAAATAGCACTGTACTGAACATTCTTTTTATTTTATATATTTTTTTTTATTGACTTCAGAGGGAAAGGGAGAAGAAGAGAGAGATACAGAAACATCAATGATGAGAGAGAATCATCGACCGGCTGCCACCCACATGACCCCCAGTGGGGATTGAGCCCGCAACCTGGGCTTGTACCCTTGACCGGAATCGAACCCGTGACCCTTCAGTCTGCAGGCCGACACTCTATCCACTGAGCCAAACCGGACAGGGTGCACTGAACATTCTTATACTTAGTTTTGTGTATTTTTTTCTTTCTTTCATGTTGGCTTAAAATGAATGCTAAAGTGCTTAAATAAGGGTAGTAAGAAAATGTTCATTATTGGTTATTAGGTATTGATTTTACATAACGTTTAGGGACCTTAAACAAGTTTCTTAGATCCTGACTTCTGCCTTGCCCTATTCTTTCTTGGACCAAGACATTATTTTTGAGTTTTCCCCTGAGAAGACGTATCACAAGTAAAGGAAACCTCCGCTCTGTCCCGCTCCTGTCTGATGTGTGTCCGAACCTGGGCTGTTAGGCCTGAGCAGCAGCCGTGAGAGTCCTGCAGAGACGCCGCGGCAGAATGCTCGCTGGTCACCTGGTGGTTCTGATAGAATAGAATCTGGTTTTTCCATCCCAGTGAGCAAAAGGCTTCTCTAGGGTTCATCAGAAGTAGTAGCCGTACGATTCGAGTGTCGCAGCTTTACTTGTTCCCAGTTTTCCAGGCTGCTCCTACCAAGAAGTCATCTGTTGACTCCCTAACCCACTCTGTGTGCTGAGTCGTAGATAAATGGGTGAGGATGATTCAGACCACCCTTCCCTTCCCTGAGCTGAGCTGAGCAGAGGTGATGTTGGGCTTTGGGTAATGAGTGGCATAGAGCATGTTGTGAGTGTGTGTTGTGAGTCCTAATCCATTATTTATTGTCATTATTTATTGTGTGTCCTGAAGACAGGCGCTTAGATTCTTCAGTTTTAGTTTTCTTGTCTATAACATGAGCAGAATGCCTGAGTGATTGAGGTTTGCATGAGATGATGAATTAATAATGATCGATTTAAACCACCATTTACCTTGAAGGTTTAATTGTAGTTACTACTCAGTTACCATAGTAACACTGAGAGAATATGCCATTAGTGAGCTGTCACGTGCAGCTCATCCAGGTCACCTACCTCTGTGTGGCCTGAAGATCTGACTCCCGGAGGAGGCTGGAGGTCGGTGTCCGTCGATGTCCGTCAAGCCTCGTATCGGCCAGAACAGGATGGGGACTGAGTCTATAGATGCGGCAGCTTTGACAGTGAAGGATTATGTGATCCGATATAAATTTGTATGTGTGCATATACAACCTTTTTGACGTTTAAAGTAGATGTGTTATTGGAAGGTGACCATGTCACTTTTTTGTCACAGTTGCTTATTAAATATAAAAAGCTCAGTTTTAACTGAGGCCACATGATTTATAGTGGTTTTGTGACATTAATGAATGACCTCTCAAAGTTATACTGAATCACATCTCAAAAAAATTTGAGTGCTTAGACTATAATTTTTTATGTTATAAAGTCAGGTGCCTCAGATATAAAGTAATAGTGATTTTCCACCCTCTAGTGGTGGGGGAAGAACAATTATGTTTTTGCCTCTATAACATATTGGACCTTAATTTTCTCTTGTAACTCCCATTGTAAATCACATTTTGAAGATATTTCTTTTTTCTTTTCTTTTTTTAATTAAATCTTTATTGTTCAGATTATTACATTTGTTCCTCTTTTTTCCCCCCATAACTCCCCTCCACCCAGTTCCCACCCCACCCTCCTCCCTCACTCCCCACCCACTGTCCTCATCCATAGGTGCACGA